TTAGCTCCGTGTGACTTCTTCCTCTTCCGAAAGATGAAAATTCAAGGGAAGGAGATTTGAGACGATAGAAGAGATTGAGGCAGAATCGCAGATGGTGCTTGACAGGCTGATAAAGAAAGATTTCCAGGGATGCTTCCAGGCTTGGCAGCGGCGCTGGGATCGTTGTGTTCACTCCCAGGGGAACTACTTCGAGGGTGATGGATGAATTTAATACCTGAGATAAGTGTACGGGTTGTTATACGCGCAGTCTGGAAACTTTCCGATCGCACCTCGTAAATGTAAAGACCAGAGGTCGGGTTCACTGCCTAGAAGTTTTTATTTCACGAGAAGAATTATTTTGTTAAGAAGTGAACAGAACTCTGTGACCATGGAAGATGGTCTGCAGACACGGTGGGCAGCTGCGACTATGTTCAGTAATCAGTCGCGGACAGCTGACAAGGGGGGTTGTCGGGACCCATCGACACTTCACAGTAAAATAAAAGGAAACGTTACGAAACGTCAGATACTAATTCTTTGGCGCAAATCGAAAAGTGGACACGAGATTTGGAACTTTGAAAGTTCTGTCACGATGAGGAATTTGCTCTGGACACCGTCCACTGGGAAGCTCTTATGAACACGGCAACTATCAGCTTTTCGGGAATGACAGCACGGTCAGACCAGAGCCATTGCAAAGTTACTTAGAAAGTGAACAGACTGAAATGCAGACAAGGAGCCCTGGGTCGTTTAACGGCGTTTTGCTTACTGTGAAATGTAGATGTTGTGTACCTCACACATGTAAGTTCAAAGGAGACCCCCCCTCTCTCTCTATCTCTCTCCTTTACAACAAACAACAAAGAAAGGCCAGCGTCTGCCTGTAAACATTGTCTCGCGACAGTGATTTCTCTGTGTCTGGCTTCGCAAACAATTCTTCTTCAGCTGCTGTTGCAAGTTTAAGTTATTTTAATTTTTTATAACGATTACGAAAACTTTGCGATTCCGACTGAAAATGCGAACATCTGATGCTGAATCACGTGTCCTCACACTGATCAGAATGAAGGTCACTGATTTGTGGGATGTTGCAAAAATTAACCAGTGTTACAGAGAGACGATTACTGCCTTCATCATCGGGGTGGCACCATTATCACGCAGCCAATCCACTCTTTTAGGGGCGCCGATTCAAATCCTCGATTTTCATAAAATCTGATATTGGGAGGTCTTATTTAATTTTCTGGTTACGAGGTTAAATGTCAAAGAACTGGAAAGAAATCTTAGCAAAGCCTCGCAAATCACGCTGTTTGAAGATTTCTGCTGGTGTCTGATGTAGACACTTGAGTGCTCGGTTCGTGCAGGGCATCGATATTATTCAACTTTTAACTGCGTCTTACCCGAAGGAAATGACCACAAATTCTAACTAAAATCACAAAATGTGAACAAATTTTTGGGAATTTAAAACCTCCGACATGAAGATTATTTCTGGAGGCTCGTCTTTTGGATCAGAGCAATTTCCGAGTTCTGTTTCCTTTGATACGAATTACAGCAAATTCTCAGGCAGTGCCTTCCCAATCCCTGTCCTCCACGACTCACCCCCGCAAATGACGTCGGCCAGGTTCGTCTGCACCGCCTGGTGAGTCACGTCTCCGTCGCGGATAGTCTGCATTTCTCCGTGCACGTAGGCCAAAGCCTCCTCCGTGGACATCAGCATCGGACGAGAGGAGTCATCAGGAGCTGCGGTGCGACTGTGGCGCCTCTGGTGACCGGACGAGTCGCGTCGCCTCTTCTCTGGAGTGACCACGAAGTAGCCCTGCGAGGTCTGGTACACCTGCAGCACGGGGGGGCCTTGCCTCAGTGGACATGAAACTTCGAGGTACGCGGGGACGGGTCATGGAAGACCGAGGCCCAGCGTCGTCCCCGTTTTACGCACACTCGTACATGAAGACTGAAAGGTTGAGGAGGGAAGAGACGAGAACGGACGACGAAATGGGAGAAGAAAATATTTTAAAAAATATATGAAATTTTACATGAGGAAGTTAGGAGGGGACTAAATTCCGGAAATGCTCGCTACTACTCAGTTCAAAATATTTTGGCTTCCGGTCTGATTTCTAAGAACCTGAAAATTAAAGTATACAAAACAATAATCTTGCCTGTTGTTTTGTATGGGTGCGAAACATGGTCTCTCACTCAGAGGGAGGAACACAGATTGCAGGTGTTTGAGAATCGGGTGTTGAGGAGGATATTTGGGCCTAGGAGAGAAGACGATGGGGCGTGGAGAAAACTGCATAATGACGAGCTTAAAAATCTGTACTCCTCCCCCAATATTGTCAGGGTGATTAAGTCGAGAAGAATGAGATGGGCGGGGCATGTAGCGCGCATGGATGGGGCAAGAGGTGTGCACCGGGTACTGGTTGGGAAGCCTGAGGGGAAGAGACCGCTGGGGAGACCTAGACGTAGATGGGAGGATAATGTCAGGCGGGATCTATGGGAGATAGGAGTTGAAGGAGACTGGATTTTGTTGGCCCAGGACAGGGTCCGGTGGAGGGCTTTGTTTAATTCGGTGATGAACCCTCGGGTTCCGCAAGCCATCTAGTTTGTTATATGAAATTTCACTAACCATTCGCCGAGTGGACGTTACTAACAATTTTTCCGTAACTTCAGTTTGATACGTCCACCGTTTGTATTTGCTGCGCTGCATTAGGCAACACACACACTGAACTGCGTTTTGTGCCAGAAAATCGGCTTTTCATTTCTCTACTAGTATTCATTTCGTATTTTTGAAAAGTGTTGAAAACTGCTTAAGTCTAATCTTACAGACTAACAGTCTAACTCACAGCGCAAGTAATATATACACTGCTCTCAGATATTTGGCATTCTCATGGCTGTGCAAATGTCGATGATTGCCTTCGGTCCTGAAGATGGAGGCAGTATATTCCTCCGAAGCGCTGGTACCCACGAAATCTTACCATAAAACAAACGTTTACCTTCCTTTCGGCCATCAGCTTCGCTAGGGCGTCGTACACGATTTCCTGAGACGGCCGCTGAATATCGGGGAAGGCGACGTGGAGCGCGGACCGGATGCGCTCGAGGACCGCGGCCTGCCCCGATGACGTCAGGTCCAGGATCACCCAACACAGGGCTTCAGGCAGCGGGGTGAACTGGCCCTGGGGCAGAGGTTGCACCAGACAGTCCTCCACGTCGCCTGCACACACACACACACACAGTGAGCGAGAATTCGGTGACATCCGGTGTCTGCAGCATCCCAGCGCCTCGTTCCAACCCTCGGTTCCTTCACGTGTGCTGCATGCTCAGCCCATCCTATACTATTTATGTAAATGACTTGTCTTCTGGGAGGCAGAAATCAACCGAGGTGATTACTGCCTCCATAATCAAACCCTTCACTCATCGTCCTGACGATGGAAGCAGCAAATACCTCTGAAACGTAGGTTAATTTCTGCCAGACTACATAGCCCAACCTTGTAGAAGACAGTTATAAAAAACTGATCATTTCACATCGACCTGAATGTTTCAGCTATAACTGACCTCAGAAGTGACTACGACATTCGTAAAGAACGCCCGAGAATGCCGAATTCTTTAGCTGTCGTAATGATCGATACGTCAGACAGAAGAGTAAAGAGTTTTGTTGATGTCGATATGGACATCTTTGGGGGTTTATTGATCTGCACGCCACTGCACTCAGTCGCCCACTGGTGCCCCTAGGACTAGACAGAACCGCAGATCAAGGGCTCGCGCGTATCTGTCGTTAAAGACGCGAATTCCGGGCGCCTGCGTCATAATCAGTCCGCAGCCCGCACGAATTCAGTGTCCAGGGACCAACCAAAGCCACTCGGCTGCTTACCGAGGACGGTTTGAATTCGCCTCCGAGACATTTTCTGCTCTTACATTAAATTTTTCTGCGAGTCTGTAGGAACGAGAAAGGCAGAGTCCTTCTTCATAAGCTGACAGTCGCTCAGCTAGACTTCACTCGGCACAACAACCCAGAAGACAGTCATCTTCATATTAGCCGCCCTGAGAACCTGAAATCTCACCAGCAAGATCTCTTTCCTACACGCGTCTGGACCAAACACTTATTATTTCCACGAGTTTCGGTGACACACACTTCACAAGCCAGAGGGACTACCCATTGTCCCCCGTTCTTAATTATGTCCAGGAAGGCAAATTGCTTCAAGTCTAAAAATCCCGAACGTCCGTACCGGGGACCAAACCGCGTTCCCCAAGGAACAAGGCAGTCGTGAGAAGATCACGCCCATTTTAAGGGAAACAGAGGTTCATCACCGCGTTCACAACAGCGCGCAAACTGGTCCCTGTCTTAAACCACACGAATCCAGTACAAACCCTCACGCCTTATTTACGATACATTTTAATATTATCCTCCGGTCTACGCCTACCTCTCCTCCTTGGCATTACGCTTGACTGACTTTGTCAAACGACCACTCGCTGAATCACTATAGATTTGGACGTCGTCGAATGAGAAAAGATAGGAAATTGACGGAAGTGGCCGTGGCCGATTTTGCGTTGCCATGACAGCATTGCTTCCTAAAAATGCTACGCACGATTTAGGACGGGTGACCACCGAGTGCGACTGTTTGCCGAGATTTTCGAAATTACGAATTGGGGTCGGGTTTTCCTAAGCAGCGTTGGTGAAATACGTCGTCTGTATGCGTTCAACAGACTGTGAATATCTTTAAAAAAAAAAAAAGTGTTTTGCAAGGACGAAAGAAAGTTCTGGCTCGGTCCTAAGACAGTGAACGACTTACGACACCCGCTTTCATTCAGTCTCTCAACTTACGCAACTCAGTGGCTGGCCGTTTCTGCGTCCGTTTGCGACGACGCACGAAATTCCCCAGAACCTAACCAAATTTATTCAAAATTTCTTTTCCCACGTCTTCGAGTTTCTCCGACTAAAACTGTGCATGCTACACGCTCCATCCCATCATTCTTGAATATGACCGTCTTCTACGCCATTGCGCCGTGTACTTTCGTACGAGTTTGCTGCTTCCATCATCAGGGCGACGGCGCCATATCCCAGAGGACAACCACGTTCACACTCGCCGCATTCAGATTAAAAATCTTATCTTCTGTGTCCGATTAATCGCGCAGGAGAATTTATAAAACTTACGAAGTTACAGGTTAAATAAATAATGCTCAATCGAAAAATGGACTATGTAGTTAATACAGCGACACACAAAGCTTTTGTTGCTGGCAGCGACTGTACGACGGGCTGTCTACAGACAGGGGATGCTTGATGATGTGGGAGGATCAGGGGGAAAATCAGTGGGACCGCCCCCTTTAGAGGGGGCGAAAGGGTCCCGATGAATCAGAAGTAAAGTCCATCTTACGATGACAGTCGCTCAGCTGGTCAATCAAATTCCCCGAATTTTATGGAAGCCGAGGGCTGTCCAACCGTGTTCGCGAGAGCGTGCCACCGGGCACCAATTTTGTCCACCCCGTCTCTTTAAGATTAATTTCAATATCATCCTCCATCTACGTGTGTGGCTGCCATTTCGTTTCATTCACACTAAATAAATAAATAAATAAAATCATCCTCCATATACATGTGTGGGGCTGCCATTTAGTTTCATTACCTCGGAATTCCAATTAAAATTTCGCCAGCATTTGTCATTTCTCTCCCGTTACGTTCGCCTGTCGACGCTGAATTCATGACAATTTACGAAAAAAAGATTCTCACTCAAATTTCTCCAACTTACTCTGTCCGACGCCCGGAAATTTTTTTACCAAACCCCCCCTCAGTATAAACAGGGCATTTTCCTTTGTTTAATAATTAAAAAACATGCGACGTTTCGGAGGCGTTTTCAGCCTCCATCAGCACAATCAAACCAGTTGTGTCCACTGGAAAAGTGTCATCTCAACTCCGGGACATTTTAGAATCTACCCAACTGATTCAGACTGCGTTACTCTACCGATGATGGAAACAGAACCAGCTTCCGAAACGTCGTGCGTTTTTAAATAAACAGACTCAAAAAAAAAAGTTACAGACAGAGCTTCGTCGGAAACGTCTACACAAACCCTCCAAGCGCTTTCCAATCAATTCCTGAGGCTGTCGCGAAGTTCAACGCCCACATAAAACATCACGAAGGAAAAGAGAGAGAATTCGGACACTAGAAAGTGTTCTTATAAGTGTTCAGGTGATTCCAGACAAGCCTAGTCGCAACAACTTCTGCGAAGACTTGTCACCACGCGACCACCCCATGTTACACGTTGCGACTGCGATTTGCGTCACGTGACACAACACCGCGTAACGAGGTGTTCCGACCCCACACAAACGCTTCTGAGGAATAATTACAGGAACACTTACAAGTGCAAAGAAGTTACCGAAGGTCCTTACAGAGACACTGCTCTCCGCCTGAAAATAATCGATACCAATACCATCTCGAGGGGAAAACGAGTAATCGAGAAAAGTCGAACGTTGTTCCGTTAAAGTCGACAATGGGAGGAAACTTACTAAAACCTGTCGTCACATTCCTGCCTTTGTTCGTAACAAACACTGCACGCAGACCTAAATCCATTTCTCGGTGTAAATATTTACAGAAAACCAGACGTGTTTCGGGCATTCGAACATCTAATAAGCAGTCAGTAACAAACAACTAGACCCAACTTCTAAGCACGAATTTGAATCTGACGTCACCCAGAGACAGTTACAACGCGAATAATTCTGAATGGTTGCGGTACGCGGACAATACCAGACTCGTTTAACCATGTACAGTAAGTGGTTAACTACACGAACCACCTGCGTTAACAATCAGTAACTCAGCATTTGTGTGTTACTTATAATTCTCACTGCAAACAGCGATTACTTCCTTAAACAGCGTTAACCAGTTGATCTTTGTAACGGTGAAGAGATGTGTTTACTTTGCGGTACGGACTGGATTCTTAAATGCTATTTAGACGAGCTTCGGCTTCGAAGGGTTAATTAATTATCAGAATAAAAATCTATTATTTCCTTAAACAGCGTTAACCAGTTGATCTTTGTAATGGTGAGGCGTCGTGTTTTCTTCGCGGTACGGACTGGATTCTTAAATGCTATTTAGACGAGCTTCGGCTTCGAAGGGTTAATTAATTATCAGAATAAA